ACTTCGACAAACTTTAAAGTAAGACATTACTTATACTTCCAAGTTATTTTATTAAACCGTTATCAATTGCATTTCATTTCTCTATAGTAGTGGCACAAACTGGATAAAATTTCAATTAAGTAATTTTACTTTTGTTACGCTAAAGAAGTATAACTTCTTATGTGCCTACATTATAAGTACACACACGTATTTTATGTACTATTTAATTTCTTTGTATTTTTTTTATTCTAAGAATACATTTCTATGCTAAACTGCTTCTACTCAATACAATCAAGCCAGGCGCTTTTGCGAATGCGTAGCGAAATAATTATACGAAGTAAAATAAAACGAAACAAATTCTGTCACTGGTCGGCCGTGCTCTATAACAGGACTTTTAATTTATAACTCTGGAAAGCAAATATTATAGTAGGAAATGTAGTCATAAAATCTCGAGAGGATAAAACATTTACCGATCGTAAATTGGATTGTTAATTAGAAAGCGGGCTTATACAATTTAATCTGATATCTATATATTATTTATTTCATATTTCATGTTTAATTTTTAAGTGGATGTATGGTGGCTAAGGAACAATCATTTAACTTATTAAACCCATCTAACTAGGCTTAGCCCAACATCATCGCAAATGTTGGAGGTGATTTTTGTAAGTTCTTTTTTTCTTATTTAAAAACATTGCCCTTACTTTAGGATAACATTATCCTGTGTACAACAAGTTTAAGGACGTTTTTACAAACATAAATTTCACGCGGACAAACACCCAGATACGAAACAACTATCTGTGGGTCACACAAATAGTTGTCCCGTGTGGGGATCGAACCCACGACCCTTGACGCCGATGCCAATACCTTAGCAACTGCGCCACGGAGTCATCAAAAGAGAGTTTGGTATGTACAATAATTTACCTAGTATTCATATTATTTAGTACTTCCCGTATGCTAGATATCCTCTTCGGTTTATACGAGATATAAAATAAAACCAATGGGTTTCACGTAGGTCAATTACTAACTAACCTTAGGTTTGTTTGCAATCGCTGGGCGAGTTAACCTCAGTACCGGGCGATGGCAAACGTCATATAGGTTAATTTTGAGATAATATTTCATTTGCCAGTTTAATTAATTAAAGTTCTTGTTATCGTTTGATAATACGATGATGAATATTATTCTGATTGAAATTAATTAAGCAAAGTTTGTTATGAAAACGTTTTGCGACATTGTAAATTGTTTACATGGAATGTGATTGGATGTTGTTTTCTGGATTTGTGAAATCGATATCAAATTCACTAACTGTATGTCGAAATGGTTAGTGTAATATATAAGTACCTAACTATCATTTATAAAAGTTTGTTATTTAATTTTTAAAGGCTATGTGTAGTTCAATATTATGAATCCGTTGAGACTGCATGGAGAGATGAGCAAACGCTTAAGCACCGCACTCAGATAGGACAATTTTGGTTCAAATTCCATTAAAATGCTAAATAAGAATGTTGAAAGAAGGCGTTAAGATTTTCGTCGCTGTGGCTATCAGCCGTTTAGCTCAGTGGCTAGAGCGTCAGGCCGCGAATGCCGAAGACGTGGGTTCGATTCCCACAGCGGCGACAATCTTTTCGTACTTTTTCTACATGTTTTAATGTACAATCTTAAGTGCAGAGATTAGCACTATAAAAATCTTAAAATACCATTAAAATCTTTGCGTTTCTGAGCCTTATTAAATATATAATTGTCTTAAAAGTATTTAAGACTATCGCCCGTTTTCTGAAACACTGATCATCTTAGAAATTAACTAATCAGCTGTTAAATGGCTTGTAAAATCCATTAATTTGAGTTTCCTAAAGATCATCCTTTTGCAAATTCTTTGAATAGATCATTCTGACAATTCTGGTCAATGCAGAGTTGAACCATCCTTTTGGCAACTCAAATAACATTTGACGGGCCACTTGACAGCTGATTAGTTAATTTCTACGATGATCAGTGTTTCAGAAACCGGGCGTGAACTTCGTAAACTAACATCTAGGCGCTACAGTCGAACATCCATAACGCCTAAAATTGTGCTTCACAATATCCGAGGCCGCAACTCGCATCTGACGCTTTAAGTGGAATGCGGAATCACTCAGCGTCCTTCACTAGCGAAACCGCCCGGCACGGCCTGGTTTATATTGTTCCACGGGTTCGGCCCACATTCGTTGTTTACTCCCGCATGAATCAAAGTACGCGCTGGGAGCGGCATCCGCTGTCTCTAGGTCGGGCTATTTGGAGCCGCCTTCGGTTTCGCACGAAGTGAAACATTTATTTCAGAACCTTAAGAAAATTTAGAGGGAAAGCAAAGCTCCTTATTTTTTGTCGTAAACATCTTCAACGTATACTATGATCATCTTTCAGTTACCTTATAGTGTAAAAGTAAAGTTACAGCCTGTATACCTCCAGCCTATGACATATGACAGCCTATGTACCCCCTCCTAAAAGGCCTCCCAGTACAGGGGCTATTAGGGCATAGTCCATCACGCGGATTGGCGGACTTCACATATCTCCGAAAAGTATTTTTGTTATTTTTTCAAAATATACAGTTGTATTATTATTTTGTTTTATTATTTATATGTTATTTCCTCAAGTACCCATAAATCTTTATTAATATTACTTAAGTGCAAAAAACATAAGTTTACCACCCGACAACCATAATACTGCATGTGTTCGCTTCAACGCGAGCATTAGCGATTTTTTTTTAAATAAATAAGGATTTGTCTCACCGTTAAGTTTGAGGACGTGAGAATTTACGCTCTTATGTGCGTAAAAAATTTAACCGATTAACGTATGGATAATTACGTGTATATCTGTAAATCTTGCCTCTTACCGTTTTTCGTCGCTGAAATCTTTTTTGACCTCGTCATCTCTGTTCCACCATATTTGCGATTTGTCATACGCCTTTGAGTAAATGAGCAAATGGCGACATCTGTTGTGCTTTTAGTTGCACGGATACTATAATTCTAGAAGAAACAAAATCTGATTATTCGGGGTATTTCATGAAAATACTAGTTATACTTTTTGTAAATGTATTTATTAGATATACGTTTTTGTCTTGCCTTTACACTTATGATGGCGGAAATTTTAAATGAATTGAAAGTAATTTACGTATTTACGTTTAATTATTTATGCCCTGTTTCTATATTCAACGAACGGCCGTAAGTTAAATGGCTTCGTAACTTTCATCATAACGACTTGTAGATAAAAGGTGTGTACGCCCGGTTGCTGTATTAACAAAACGAGGCGTTTTCCTTACGATCCGTTGCATTACCTACAGATAGTGAGTTACTAGCGTCCCTTTAGCCACCACCTTAGCGGCCACCTCACTCACCAGACGGAACGCGAAAGTATTATACTTCCATTTTACGCCGGTCTTCTGTGAGGTCGTGGTACTTACCCGGACGAGCCTGCCCATTCGTGCAATGGCCGAGTCTGCTGCGTGGCCCTACCACCGTGAACTTACCAACTTACCAGAACGTAACGAACTTCGTGCAACAGCGAGAACTTGTAGCCCTACCACAGTTGTAAAATGACGTGAGGACATTCTCAAAATCGGCAACCCTATCGGTCCTGGCGAAACGGACATTCGGTGACGTAAGCGCGCGCAGTTTCTGTAAACCGCGCGTTAGTTATGAGTGTTGTAAAAGTAAATAGACGCCGTTCCGTGGGAGCGCCGCCACGCTACGGGCAGATGCTGCCAATTCTTGTATCTTGTATTAACTGATGTTTTTGCTTTCAGTCCCGAGACTATTAAAGCTTCATCTGACGCAGAACCGGTGGGCTAGCCAGAACCCACGGGTTTGGGCCCTCCGCTGTGGGTAGGGCCACGCATGTGCTCATGCGTGCGTTTAACTATGGTGTGTCATCTAAGGGCCATCGAGGTCGTGCTTCGGACCGAAACCTCGATGGCCGCGTCGACTGTGCAATTAGCTAATCGGTGGCTGGGGGCGGTGAGAACCGCCCCGGAACGCGGGTGTACCTTGTGTACGCGTTGTGTTGGTCTCGCCGTGCTCGGAGGCGAGGGCGAACTAGTGTGTTTGTTGTTGCACTAACTGTGGGTGTAGTGTTGTCCGGCGAGCTGCCAATTGAAAATGTTGTTCGATTGGCCGATTGACGGGGAGCTATTGAGTGGCCGATTGACTTATGGCGGCTCGCGAGCGAATTAGATGGGGGTTGTGCTATATTCGGAGTATTTACGTTTCAATGGCCTTCCGGATTTCTAGCCAAGGAAAACTGCTGATTTCCTTTAGGTTTTCTGTATTCGCTTAGGGCGTGACAATGACGTGTAGTCTTTTTCGAAGGTAATTCTGATGAGAGTTGGCACAATAATCTTTCGATCGTAAACATCAAATATTCATTCAAATCGTGTGTTGACAATATTCAATGAACTGTCATTCGACGATCGATGTATTAAAACATATTGTTTTAAGTAGTCTTCGTTGTTTAAGATTAACTTTCACTTGAGACTCGTGCGGTAAGTGCTGTTCGTGCACTTTTAACAAAACTTGTTTGATATTGAAGACTCTTAATTGTATATAGTATAGGTGTAGGTATTTTATATTTACCGATTGTGCTATAGCAGTGTAGAATTCCTTAAATTTTACTTTAGTGTGTGGGAAAAGTTGGCAAGCGTGTGCGGTTCGCCTGATGTTAAGTGATTACCGTTGCCCAAGGACATCGACAACACCGGTTGTAGATGTGATGCCAACCTTTTATAAAGTGGGCCCCGGTTACCTCACTCACCAGACGAAGGTATTATACTTTCACGTTGGTCTTCTGTGAGGCCTTGGTTCTTCCCCGGACGGGCCTGCCCAGTCGTGCAACAGCTGAAACTGTTGCGTGGCCCTACCACAGTAAAACTTGTATGCGTCATACTAAATTATATTGTCCTTAGTCGTGATAAATCTTTGTCGGTATAAACAATTCGCTTCAGTGGTAATGGTAAACTAGTAGTTGCGATGGCATCTAATTGTTTCTTGTTCACGCAGATGCAAACGATTCTGCACCACAATGGCAGCGGCTCGGCCGCCTACACCGGGACCCTGAAGAGGCGGGAGGTGCACCGCGCCATCACCCTCCATCCGGTCAAAGACCACCGCCAGATGTACAGGCTCCACACATACTTCAAGGTAGCCACCTTCAGAATTTCAGCCGGCAGCCCTTCGGTAACTTACCCCTCACTACCTCACAACCGCCCTCACTTTAAATACGTTCAACTATTGCGGGAAGACATTAATAAAACTATTAGTAGCGGTCCCTTTGTGCGTCTCGTGACCATGAATATATAAAGAGCGTCGGGTGCCTAAAATTGAAATGCCGTTAGTGTCAAATTGTGTAAACTGAACTTTCCAATTTGTAATTTGATCAAAATGTAATATTGGCGTAGATAAGAGAACTCATTACCGTGAAGAGATGCACCATTTCTAACTTACCAAATATATGTGCATAATTTGGGCAGGACTGATTGGTCTAATTTATAAGTTGTTGCATGGATTTTGATATCATTCAACTTGAGGGGGCTTATCATTAACCGTTTCAAAGTAGCCTGTGTCGCTCCCCGGCACATAAAATGTTGATCCTTGTTTCATGCTGTGTGATCGAGAAATATATCAACAAATTAGATTAGTGGCTAAAGGGTCAGGCCGCGAATGCCGAAGACGTGGATTCGATTCCCACAGCGGCGAAAATCTTTTCGTACTTTTTCTACAAGTTTTAATATTTAATCTTAAGTGAAGAGATTAGCACTATAAAAAACAGAAATATACGTCACGGAGTCCTCAAATATATTATTAAGGCTTCAGCGTCGGGGGTCGTGGGTTCGATTCCCACACGGGACAAATATTTGTGTGACCCACAGATAGTTGTTTCGCATCTGGCTGTTTGTCCGCGTGAAATTTATGTTTGTAAAACGTCCTTACAACACGGGTATGCAGATCTTTTATTCGATCACAATGCATCTATGCAAAATGTCATTATTTACGTGGCACATTTATCATGCCATCACCACTCGCCAAGAGGTCTAAAAGGTCGAAGAAAATATAAATTTTCCGCTACTGTAAGCCTACTGCATGAATCAGGTACTTGTCGTTTAACGTTGTTGTATTCTAGAAGGACAGACTGATGGAAATATAACATTAACACATTGTTTCCACTAAAAGAACGTATTGTTTTCATAGCGCCATAACTTCTCCGAATTTCCGTTATATTTGTAGAATGCAAACATATTTTACTCTCCTATAGGCTGCTTTGCGTTTACGAGCAAATGTTTGCATATACAATACCGGACCTAATTTATTTCCATTAATAATGTGTACGTTAAGATAAACTATAATTACATAATTCAAGCTCAATCGCCTAGTACGCGGTGTTTATGATAATAAATTACGAGCGTTCTTGACCTTATTTCGGTATTGTGCCAAAGTGGAGAGTATATTTAATAATGTTTATGGTTTGGTTAGCAGATTGTTAATCTGCTAACCAACTTCTCTCCAAATCTTACTTCCTAAAATCTAAAAGTAAATACAGTAGAATCTTGATTGTCCGAACCAATTTTCAATTGACGAACGACGAGAAACAATGTATCTTTCGCACCAACAACGTCCGAATAATAAATGAGCGTTCGGATGAAGTAAGTCATCGTTCGGATAATCGAGGTTCTACTGTTGGTAAAATGAAGTAACAGCCTATATATGTCCCACTGCTTAGGAGCTTAGGACATGGTCCACCACGCGACTCCACTGCGTATAGGCGGACTTCACATATCTTCGAACTATTTTTTTTCATTATTTCGAAAATATACAGGTTCCCTCACGACGTTTCCCTTCACTGCCGAGCACGTGTATAAGTCAGCACTTAAAATTAACAATATGTCGAATTCAACCAAAGTTACTCGGATATGTTAAATTAAAAGCATAATAGCTATTGTTTCAATAAGTATATATCGTGTTGTACTTTTTGTATACAAAGATGTCCTTAAGGGACATGTAGTAACACTTGTACACTGTAACCAAGTGAAAGTTATAATAACTCAAAGGACCAAAGAATTTAATAATTGTTTATGTTTTTTATCCTTTTTGATATTCAAATATGACGCTGAGCTCTTTTAATGTAACTGCTTGTCCAGATTCAAAGAGCGGGCGTTTAATTCGTGTCGGAAACAAGTTTCGTGTTGGTCGATGACCCTGAATAAAGTTAACGTGACTTAATGTTAGCGCCCGTGGCAATAGTGCAAATAACGCAGGAATGTTCTAATTCTCTTTTTTTGTACATTTTCTGAAAGACTGTTTCCACTTTCACAGTGAGGACAATCGTATAATGCATCTTGACTTAGTTACCCGTCATGGGAAGAGTTGTTCTTTTTTTATGTGAGAAGATGGCAAGCGAACTGGGGGTTAACCTGATGTTAAGTAATAACCGCCGCCCACCCGTGCACACACGTTGCACGCCCGTAGGGTTACATATGCGTTGCCACCTTTCAATAAAGAGGATCCCAGTTCTTACTTACCAGACGAAAGAGTTCGAGGGAGAAGCTGTGGCGTAGCCCTCCCATAGTTCAAGTCTATTAAGCATTTACTTACTACAGCTGCTTTGTGGAACGAGTTGTTGCCAGCGGTATTCCTGGATCGATACGACTTCGGGACTTTCAAGAAGAGAGCCTACTCCTTAAAGGCCGGCAACGCAATTGTGACTCAACCGATGTTTCAGGTGTACATGGGCGGCGGTGATCGTTTACCATTTGGGGGGCACCTTGCTCGTTTGCCTTTTTTTTCATTAAAAAAATTACACACATGATACCCGTGGAAACTACACCCTTTTAAGGGCTCTGTGCTCGATGAAGTGTCCACTGAATGCCAAAACAACTTCAACACAAGTTCCTTCTTATAGATTACTAGCGACCCGCCCCGGCTTCGTACGGGTTTAATGTATTATACTTATAAACCTTCCTCTTGAATCACTCTATCTAGTAAAAAAAAACCGCATCAAGATCCTTTGCGTAGTTTTAAAGATCGAAGTATACATAGGGACAGACAGACAGCGGGACGACTTTGTTTCATACTATGTAGTGATTTTATCTCATTCCAAATAGTTCACGTTGTCGACCTGCGCAGCCAATATTAGCGCAACTCGCGGTTATGTCTAGAAAGTGAGAGGCGAGGAGGTCACGGCACTGTCGCCGCAATCTGTTCATATCCTTTCACGTAGTATTATAGACCGTGACTCGGAAACTGTATGATCTTTGTTTTTCCAACATCGGAGTTGTTACAGATTATTGGCACACAAGTGTGTATTAATAAATGTTAGTATTTATCAATTAATGTGTCCATTTTATCGTGAAGAGTAGATATAGATGTCTTGTTATGAAAAGTCGTTATCACCACACAATAAAGGCTTAAAAAGTCAATATCTTAAGAAAAAATATAAGTATTGTATGGCTATGTTTTCTTTCAATTTATCTTTATTACAATACGTCTTTGTAAATGTGTTTTCAAAACAAATATTAAGATCATCGCATACTTAATTAAGGGTTCGGAATGTTTTATTGAATAATAATACGTAAACTCATATTATAAGTACAGCCTGACTATATACATATGTCTGGCTATTTAACTTGGTGAACCGGCCTAGCTAATATGATTATAAACTACTTTAGACCGAACATATAACAAATAAGTAGTATACACCGGCAAAGCAGTGGGAACATATGGCGTATATGGGATTAATTCTTTATGTCCATTCGTTAAATAATTTAATTTTATCTATTGTTTCCTAAAAACTTAATTCGTGTGCCAGAGAGATTGTTCAGGTCGGCATCACGAACCACTGTTATTATGATGTTAGTTGTTTTGCCCTTTTCAAGAACTTTAATGGCTATTATTATCGTGTTGCCTGCTAAAATGTTGTTCTTGTGTTGTTTTGAAGTTTTGTTGGCTGCGAAGGTTGTTTAATAAAAACGACTGGGGTTTTTATGTTTATGGACTTGACGGGTATCGGATGTCCAAGGAGAGTTTGCGAGATGCGGCTTCGATGGTCGTAGTTTATATATTTTTTATTTTTTTTTGTTTATTAAACTCACCTGCATTTGTTAATCGAAACTATTTTTTGTCCCTTGACCATGAACGCTGGAAAGGGTTCGAAATGTCGAGAATTTAAAAATCTAATTAAACGCGATAAAATCCGTTTTTTTATCATTTATATTTTATTAATACACAATAAAATGTATAAATGGTTAAAATTAAATAAAAATAAAAACTATAGGCAAATGCAATATTGATTAATTCACATATACTAAATATAAAATTATCCCTAAGTAAATAATATTTCATAAATAAAACCAAGATGTGCCAGAGAAAAAAAAATTAACTCTAATAAAAATAAAATGCTAATGTGGCATTAGACATAGGTGTGAATAACTTCTTTTAGCGTAACATAAAATAAAAGTTACACATAAATAAAATTATAACAGATAAAAATAAAAGTGTTTGTGGTGAAATTAGTTGTCATTCATTGCTTAGTATAATATAGCGACATCGAAGTTAAGAATATTGGATCTTTTAATTGTAATGCTCTGCCGTCTGAATCAGCGTCATATCTACGTCAGCATTGGTGTCAGAGAAGTAGGTATAGTGGTAAAAACTGACGTGAGTAATAGGAATGTTTGTGGTTACTACGTATTCTATAAAAGTCTTCCTCTTTCTCCGGTTGGTACAACATGTGAATCACGTTATTAATGGGTTTTTTTTTACAATCGGCCACTTTCCTGGCGTCGACCCTCCTTAGGAATAAACACTCAGGTCAAGAACACTATACTATACTAGTGTCGTGAGGGAATCGAACCGATAACCACTGGCACAGAAGCCAACTGCGCCACGGATGTGTTTCTAAATGTATAAATAAAAATAAGTCATAGTACGATTTATGGGTGACGAGCCCAATTAAAAACTCGATATAAGGGATAATTGATTTTACAAAGTACGCACGATTCCAGAGCGTTATTGTAACTCCGTGGCTCGCGGTCGAAAAGTGTTGTGTCAGAATTTAGGTATGTGTTGTTTTGATTGATCATTGCCGGTTAATTTTTTTTCCGAGTACATCAAAGAGGTCCGTAGATAAATAAAACCTTCTTAGAAAGGTGTCGATCGTAGTTCGGAAACGGTCGATGTGTTATGCCCGTTTTCTCAGAAATATCTCACTAAATCGTCGTAATTCGTTACCTTTAGTGTCCAACGTGGCAGTAGGCAAATTATATTATTAGCTCGCATGTGAGAGCTTTATCGAGTGGTTCGCTTCCCAGCATCGGTATTCGTTTACCGTAAACCTGTACTGACGGACGTCGACACTTATTTGCATGCATAATTCGGGGCTCCCGAGATAACAACGGTGCAATGAACGTATTAGCGAGCGGCCGCCCGCTTACTCCGCGGTCAGGAGATAATATACGGTGACCATATTCTATATCACCATTTAGGGATAAGTGGAAAAGTTTATCCAATTAGTAATGTTAAGTAAATAATAGCTATCGTAACAAAAAACGCAAAGATCGTCTGATAATAAGCCTAGTTCTAGTAAAACACCGGACGCATATTGGCATATGCAAAAATATTGCAATGAACCATTTTGTTGTTAAGAATGTTACTTCGATCTTTACAGAGAAATAATTGTATTATATTTATTATTATATTGTCTTTTAAAAATATGAGCGCACGGATGCAGAGTATACAAAGGTTTGCAACAAACATTTTTATATCCCACAATAGCACGTTCCTAATGTGAATCTAATCATTACACCTATTCAATGCAGTTAGTGAGGTGTACTATATTGTGGCATTAAAGTGCAGTGTAGTCAGAATATTTTATATAAAATGTCAAAATATGTTATACATTGTATCTATTATCTATTATCTTATCCAAAATCTGATTGTAGCAACGTGTCCTCTTAAGCTGTTACTTGTTGCTGAGCTAAACAACCCAAAATATACTTCTGGAATTTTTGCGTAAACTTCCTCCAGGAATAGCCTGGCTACACTAAACCGTAACATTAGTCGGTGAGGAAACACCACAAGAAAGTTATGTATTTTATGTATGTTTATGTTAATAAGTTATGTTTATTAGTATAACTGTTCGGCAGCAAGTAAAATAGCAATTGATTTCGTTACCTATTTACTTGTGACTGAATCACTTTAAACAAAATGATAACGTCATCTAATGGTAGCTTAAACACTGTTTTCGGGCAAATAAATTCTTTATTAAGAAACAAGGTAGATGACTGTCCGTCTAAGGCCATGGCCACCGTATTATATTAATAATGCATAATATTGTGACCGATCGAGACCGGCATATCTAATTACCGATGTATGCTTTTGCACTCGTTGCCTATCGAACTTCATTTGGTGCTAAATAGAAAACACCGCTCGAGTGTTTTAGTTATTGCCCTTTGTTATTTACCGCCGCGTGTTTGTATGATTTACGAGCGGCGATTTTATTCCATTTATTAGTATTAACAGTGGACAGTGATGACTTGGTATGATGTACTTTCTACATAAAGTTCGTGGGGCTAACAAACGCACGCAAAAATCTGAATATGTGCCCAGTGTACGGTGACAAATCTCGTCGATTATTTTGGACTAAAATGCTTGACAAGGAGAACAGTATTAGTAGTTGTTGAATAACTCGTTTGGGTCTCCCGTTATGTGAAATACGTGAATATTTGTACTAACTGAATTAATTATTCACTCCGATGATTGAATAAACTTGTATTACGGATTTTATATTCATTGTTAGATGCAATAAAATACGTAGGGTATATACTCTTTTAATGACTTAATTGATGCATTGCGTTGTTCAGACATTATAGTCTCGTATAAATTATAGCTGTTAATTAAAAATAAACTCTGCCTTATACGAGGATAGATTAAACAAAAATGCTTGCCAATCTGATCAAGTCTGAAAAATGTAATAATACTAAGCAATTATTGCGACCATTGTTTTATAACCTTGAGCGAAAGTAAATGTATAGAACAGACGTGAAGTAGATGTGTAGAGAGTTCCTTATTATCTTGAGATGTGGAATAGGCGGAAGAATTGAAATGTTTTCGAAGTAACAACGATGATAGTGCCTTGGGGTACTAATAGTGACCTTCGTGAGCTGTTTACCGTCTACGTTGTAGGTCTGTACGAGATCGGTGTCCTCTGAGCTGAACGCTTATATTCCTTCGGAACAAATTGTATGTAATGTAATGTAATACAAACTTGCATTCCAGAACCTCCGCATCCAAGAGCTTCGGGAGCGGTCGCTGGACTTGCACCGGGACATAGCCTCGTCCGTCCACGAGCTCGGCGTGGAGGCGGACAAGGTGGAAGACTACGTTCTGCCTGGAGGTGTGCCCCTTTTCCCGGATAAAATGGGCGAGGACGGGTATCTGGGAAACAACCAGATTTTGGGTAAGTTCTTCGCTCCACGCATTGACCGAGGGTATATGCAAAAATTGTTATTATTTAAAAATGAATCTGAAATTTTTTTTAAGAAAATAAAAATCCCGAATATGCTTTGATATACTGTTTTATTAAATTTCTATAGTTTCGATTTCATTGAAAGTCGCAAAAATTCAGATACAATTATAAGACACGAATATGTAAAAGAATAAGATACACAAGACATATGAATACTTTTGACAAACAAGTCCGAATTAAAAATCCAGAAATTGGATTGAATATTTTTCTGTGTTCTGTTATAAATTTTTCGCAATATGGTGTCTGGTTGCAGCCATATTTTATTTGATAACTGTATCTTATTATTGCCATATTCATTGTGATAACTGTGTTCGATTGACGCAAGAATCATCAAAATCTGCCCCCGCATTTGGTGTCCATGACGCCACACAAGGATAAACGTAGCTGAATAAACACATTACACTCTTTTATGTCGCACAGTCGGGTAAAATAATGTTATCGCATATCTCACTCAACTTTAAATATCGCGATGAATAAGTCATGTAACATTACGGATTATCGATGCGATCGGTTTTGATTTTTTTATAGTTTAATGATAACATTAATTAATAGAGCCGACATCTCTGATTACAGAGGCGGATCTAACTTTTTTAATTGTGCTACTGATCATTACGGATTCCCAAGATAAGGACAAACGCGTCACTTAATTTCTTTGCAGAGTCTCCCGGCGATAGTTAGTTAGGTAGTTAGTTCTTTGATTAAACATTTTAACTGTGGTAGGACCACGCAACATCCTTTGCAGTTGCACGAATGGTAAGGTCCGGGTAAGTAATACGACTCACAGAAGACTGGCTTGAAGCAGAAGTGCTATACTTCTGCGTTTCGCCTGGCGAGAGAGGTAGCCGGGGCCCACTTCATTAAATGGTGGCAACGCATCTACAACCCTCCGGATGTTGCAGATGTCAATGGGCGGCGGTCACTTAACATTAGGTGAAACGCCACCTCGCTTGGCACCTTCTCACATAAAAAAAATAAACAAACATAGCCATCGTCTATTATCGCTGTTGAAGTCACAAGCAAGTAAGATTCGAAGACACGTACAAAGATACAGACACAAGGGTGTGCAAAGCTTTCTTGTGACCTTATTTAATCATAGCCACGTATTTTCCAGGGGCCCCAATCGACATGAACAGATTCAAGGCGGAGGCGGTGGAGGACATCGTGCCGTTCGACTTCATCAGCAAATCCATCTACTCCATCAGCCATTCGAATCCCAAGCGAAGGATAGAGGGGCCGCTGAAAGAGGCTCTGGACGACGTTATTAGAGAAGTGAGTGGGTGGCAAACGTGTCTAATGAATAGGAGTGATTAGCTACAGTCTAAATTATCATTTTAATACATTTTATTATAACTCGGATGCCAAACAATCGACTACATCTTGGGATAACTTTCAATAATGTTAATACAAATAAAATATAATTCATGTTAGAATGTAACTTTAAATCCCTAAATGATATTTAATGGTTGTATCAGACGACTCCTAGGCCTTCAAAACTCTTAAAAGCTTGTGTTATTTTTATTTAAGCCTCATCAAATATGCAAATTTTCCTTTACGATGAATTTTATCCTTTAATCATCTTTGTCCATATTAGCATAAAGATCAGATGCTTATTTAAAGCTGTTACTGTGGTATATTTGCTCAGCACTTTACAAAGTATAGGTTACTTTATCATATTTTTATTTGATCCATCTTTTAGTTTCAAATAAATAAATATGTCGCCAGAAAAAAAAGCCACTCTTAATTTTATTGTGTTTTATTGCATTAAGAATCATATTCTCGTATTGGCTTTTGTAATGTTGGTCAGAGGAGAAACCTGTGAGTGTGTGCAGGAAGTCCATGGATCCAGGTAGCTAGGGTTCATGCTTCGCGGCAGTCTGGGGAGGTCTATGTTCAGCAGTGGACTTAAACAGCATGAACCCAATCACGCTTCGCGGCAGTCTGGGGAGGTCTATGTTCAGCAGTGGACTTAAACAGGCTAAAACAATGATGATGATGATTACATTTACTGCATCTATGGATCTCATGAATAAAGTGACTTCCAGTGTTAACAAAGTCCACACTCCGTGGAGAGAGATCTCAGACAGGGTATACATTAAAATACTTACCAATTACCCCAAGATGGTATAGTAACGTAACAAGTCACTTAAGTGATACTCAAAGTGGTATTTTAAAAGGCTGTAAGATCTTAACTTTACTTTAACTCGTGTGTGGTAGGGCACAAAAGGGTACGCGTAGCTTTTTGCACGAATGGAGTGGGACAGAGCCGCAGTTTTGTTAGAGAAGATCGCTCCGTAATTTAAGGTTAGCTTCTTGCACGAATAGAGTGTTACAGAGCAGCGTCGTCAGCAGAGCGCTCCTTGTTCGCAGGTGATGGAGATAATAAACGCGCCGTCGCGGCAGCGCGGGCGGGTGATCGAGTTCAACGAGCTGCTGTACGGGTACACGCGGCTGCAGCCGGTGCACGGCGCGGACCACGTGCTCGACCTGCTGCTCAAGTACAAGCGCTACAGGGGGCGGAAGATGACGGCCGCGGTGCGACGGCACGCCTACCTGCAGCAGTCCTTCACCGGTGGGTACCCTCTCTAGCACCCCCAGTTCTTCCCGCCCACGGAACCTCACGGCTACCTCACTCAGCAGGCGAACCATAAGAATGTGGTACGCCGACTTAACGCCTTTTCAGTCGAGGCTGTCGATAATCGTTTAGCCTACCTGCAGTAGTCGTTCACCGGTGGGTACCCTCTCTAGCACCCTCAGTTCTTCCCACCCTCGGGACCTTACGGCTACATCACTCAGCAGGCGAACCGTAAAAGTGTGGTACGCCAACTTAACGCCGTGTCAGTCGAGGTTGTCAATAATCGTTTGCGTGGCCCTACCGCAGTGATATATTATTCTGTTATACTTCTGCCTCTCGTCTGATGAGTGAGGTAGCCACTTTATTGAAAGGTGGCAACGCATCTGCAACCTACGAGTGTTGCAATTGCCAATGAGCGGCGGCTATCACTTATCAGGTGAACCGCCAGATCGCTTGTCACCTCCTCACATAAAAAAAAAAGATTTAAATAAAGTTCTTACTTCAACTTTTACTGTTAGATTTTTAGTTTATTAGAATTTTTTCACATTTGAAGAATTTTGTCACATTTGATCTCTTGAATGCCGGAGAAAGATCTATTAGTAAATAATATTAGGGTGGTCCTTCTTTTATCTTTAATCAAAAAAATACTCTAAATGTTTTAAATACAGTTCTATTATTTAACTTAATTAGTCCAGTGTCTCTTAAACACATAGATCTGAAATCAGACAATTATTGCATAATGACCCCGGTATATTATTGTCCATTTGTTAGTTTTGCTTTATTCTGCAGCAGCTATTTATTGAGTTCGCTCTTTAGTACTCGATTCCATTGTTGAGCGGTTCTAGCGTTTACTCAATACAAGTCGGCCTTGCTTCTCTACTGATAGAATTTATAACGACCAGTTAGAAGAATTAAGTTAAACGATTGTTAGGTAAAATGTTACGGTACTTATCGCCTTTGATGAGAAATCTTTCAATTATGAACTGTAGGGTATGAGGCACGTTGTAAATCATTCGACAAAAAACTTTGAAATTTGATGACAATGGTATAGTAATCAAACAAGAACATTTATTTTTAAGTTTTTAAACCCTTACTTTACATAACTTTCACGTGGACAAACACCCAGATCCGGAACAATTATTTGTAGGTTACACAAATACTTGTCCCCTGTGGGAATCGAACACACTTGCTTCTGCGCCAAAGCCGATACCAAGCCAACAACTGCGCCACGGAGTCATCATTGATTCCGCGCGTAAGAAGTGAAACTTCCATTGCCACGCATTCACTCTCGCTCTGTCTCTTTCTATTCAGCCTCCCCAGGAGCGTTGAACGTTTAACGCAACTGTGCTTTCATAGCCATTACACCATTGGAAGTCGCATTAGAAGTTTCACTTTAAAAAACACGCGTAATAGACGAGAGGGAACTTTCAGGTACGGAGATAAGGGAGCTGCCGATCGGGGAGCCGCCGCCCTCCGAGGATCGCGACATACTGGAGAAGCTGGAGGGCGCCGGCGCCGACTACGAGGACTTCGACGAGCCCAACCAGCAGCAGGGCGGCTTCCTGGACTTCGGCAGGCTGGCCGTGCGCGGCGCCTTCCAGAGCGGCCTCATGAAGATCCAGAGCAACCTGCCCAAGGTGCTGCAGTGGAACGATGGCGGCTGCGAGTACGAGTACCCGCTCTACGACAGGCGGGTGACGTTCGTCATGCCGCTCTCCGGCCGCCAGGAGACCTTCGGCCGCTTCATGAACAACTACGAGGACATAGTGCTCAAGAGCGACGAGGCCGTCTCGCTCGTCATAGTCCTCTATCTGGACAGCAAGGACCCGCTCGACTACGTCAACACGCAATCCTTGGTCACCTACTACAAGGACCTGTACAGCAAAGACATCAGGGTCATCCAGATGGGCTCCACCACCTTCTCGAGGGGCGCCGCCCTCACCGAGGGCCTCAAGGCCTGCGAGGACGACGACCTGGTCTTCTTCATCGACGTGGACATGATGTTCAACCACGTGTCGCTGCGCAGGATCCGCATCAACACGATCAAGTACCACCAGGTGTACTTCCCGATCGTGTTCAGCGAGTTCAACCCCGACGTGGTGAACGGCGAGGAGTACAACCGCTTCGGGGACGAGGCGCTCGTGGCCGACGACGACCTCGGCAAGTTCGTCGAGGAGGAGGAGGAGGAGGAGGAGGGGCGGCCGAAGACCGACAGGGAGCTGGCCGACCTCAAGTACAGCAGGGAGATCAACGACGACAACGGCTACTTCAGGGTGTACGGGTTCGGCATCCTCGGCATATACAAGCGCGACTTCCTGCGCGTGGGCGGCTTCGACCTGAACATCAAGGGCTGGGGGCTGGAGGACGTGCAGCTGTTCGAGACGCTGATCAAGTCCAACCTGAGCGTGTACCGCACGGCGGACGACACGCTCGTGCACAGGTTCCACGCCGTGGACTGCGACAAGGCGCTGGAGAAGAGCCAGTTCCTCATGTGCCTCGGCACCAAGGCCTCCACCTACGGCAGCGACAAGCACATGGCCTACTACATGCTCAACCACCCCGAGGTGCTGTGGCCGCAGGAGGCGCCCGACGAGAAGGGCGCCAGCTAATACTGGCCACTTGTGCCACCGCACGCGGCATACGCGAGAGACGATACGTTGCATCCAGTGTCCACTTGTAAATGGGAATCGCTTAAATAGTTACGTTATTGATCATGAACAAGTTTTCTTTTATATACGTTAATGGTTATCGATAAATTAGTTTTATTTATAAAGGCTCCTTCGAAGGCGTGGGGTTTTGGTTACCTTACTGTGACCTCTTTAAATATTTATACTATCTAATTATTTTGTGAATTTTTGAATATTCGCTTTATTCTGTACAGTGTCGTTTGCATATAATTTTTTAATTTATTTTCTAAGTTTTATAAACGGTTCCAGAATCCATATTTTTTTGCGCATTTATAAGTAGTTAGGTAATAAAAGTATATAGATATATCCTAAAGCAATAATAAATGTTCCTAGTTAATAGACTGCATAAAAAGGTGAATTAAATACTAGAGTCCTTTGTTTAATACGTCAGCGAAAATAGAAATGAACAGTGTATCTGCGTTAACAATAGCAGTGGAACGAGCGAAAATCTCGTTAAGAATCATATTTACATGTAAAACCGAATTAAGACATTTATACACCGTATACTCTTGTGATGGAAGTTACTGATGTCGAGTTCCCCTTGTTAATAATTCTAGAACATTCTTTACACCGAGCATTAATTCAATAATTCATAATTAATTCAAATTAGTTAATTCTTAAAGATGAATACATCCATTCGTGAGCATAAGCGGTTTGTTCCTTGTATAAAGTACTAGACTGAATACATTCATCTTTAAAATATTCATCTATAAAATTAAATGCACGTAAATACAGTAATGGCTCAAAAATTTAAATAATAATATTATTTAGATAACGATAGTATAACTGTCACAAATATAATGGTCAAATAGTATTTTTTCAACATCAAACAGTTAATAGAGAGGTTTCTGTAATGTATTTACTAGACACATTAATTACTTTACATGCTAGCATTATTGAATGTGCACCACGAAAACTCAGTTCTTAATTACAATGCTAGTAATTATCCCATAGCTTTTATACTATTTATTCATAAGCATTATCCCGTAGTTATTTTCTTTTTAATATATACAATATGAATTTGAAAATTTCACTAGGAATTCGAAGCTGTTTCTAGGATTATCCGTTATTTGACATATTCATTCCATGATTCATTGCTTAGATTTCTGTATTTGTTATATAAGTATATAATATTTTCTGTTATTTTTAAAATGACAATGCAAGAAAATACTCGAGCAGAAATAGCAAAATTGGTTGTGAAAGATGTCAAGTGACAGAAAAGCAGCGTTAGTGTAGAATAAATGTGAATAAGGCAATAATTACTTACTATTAATATAAATATGATGTAATGAATAAGCCGAAAGCCTAATAGTAACACAAATATTCATTCAATTTTGTACGTATGTAAAAATGTGTACAATTATGCTTGTTTTTGTTATTTTTTTGTCTTATTATTTACTTATTTAATGAGAAAAGTGACAGCATTGCTTTAATATTATTATTTGACTACTTTTCAGTTTCAAAGTAACCATGGAATATTTTTAAATTATCAAAAAATAAAACCATTTTTGCTTCTAATAAAAAATAAATAATTAAATTTATATTTATATGTATTTTTCTATTTGCTCAACTAATAATTTTTTTGTAATTGTTTTTTTATTTCCATACCATTTCAACATTGTATCGTGTCCTCTTAATTTTTAGCTTTATCTTTTAAGTCATATTATTTATTATAAGAACATATAAAAACTGAATTAAAAAAAGCAAATTAGGAATATTTTTTCTTATTTTATCTTTTACCACCATTTGTTTTTGCTCTATTTTATGGATGTAATTTTAAAACCTACTATTTTGCTATCATTCTTTTTATGTATTACCCTAATTAAGTTTATAATCAATCTTGTCTTTCATATTTAACGCATGTAGGCATTAGTCCTGGTTAAAAGCATAATATTTTTAATTTAGCCCTTGTAGGTCACTTTTCAAATATGCAAGTATAAAATTTTAATGTTGTTACATTTAATACAAATTATTTCCAAAAAATAGAAATCACATGGCTTTGAATGTTACAGCCTAAATTTAGTTTAACTTTATAACAAAATTACGCCTCAGCTCTTTATTGTATGTTGTAAAATTTTTGTTCAATAAATTATGTAGTATTGCTGCAAATGATGTAAATATTAGTTTGTACTTTATTTTCACGACCAGTTGGAATAAACCAAAGATATTCCAGGCTATAACGATTTCATAATATATTAACTTAAAATCTTCCCGAGTTTTTGCATATAACATATTTGAAAATACCATCTAAATATTGTATGTGTAAGGTAAAAACGATCAGTTTATGTGTTAAAATGCATTTGATAGTGCTTATTACAGACAAAGATATATATCTCTCTAATTTATAAACATTTTACTATTTTTGTAAAAGCTAAAACATTGCACGCATATTGATAATATCTGTGACCGTTTTAATTTCCCAATTGTTCAAAACAGTAGGTAGTCTTTGAAAGACTCCTGACAGATATGACAAAAGATTGAACATAGAATTTAATACAAAAGAGCTTAATTATCTAAATGGTGCTTACCATTCACGTTTGAGATAAATGTAATGTAACGTATTATATTAAGTATTTTAAATGTAAATTTGACGCTGTAAATGTTATTTCGTGCTCATTAAGTGCCAATATTTTAGTCCTAAGTAGTTAAATATTAAAACAGTGAATATATTCATAAGTTTTAATACAGTTTTCCTTTTTTAAATTGAATAAACTAAGATATTGTGATCCGAAAGTGATGAAACGAGTGAAATTGTACGAAATTAAATTTATTTTTCACAGATAAGCTTTTTGTTTTCTTTTCATGGGCCCGTACATTAATCACGTGATGTTCTTTTAGTAAAAATCCGTAATTAAGTTTATAATCAATCTTGTCTTTCATATTTAACGCATGTAGGCATTAGTCCGGGTTAAAAGCATAATATTTTTAATTTAGCCATTGTAGGTCACTTTTCAAATGTGCAAGTATAAAATTTTAATGTTTTGTTACATTTAATACAAATTATTTCCAAAAAATAGAAATCACATGGCTTTGAATGTTGCAGACTAAATTTAGTTTAACTTTATAACAAAATTACGCCTCAGCTCATTATTGTGTTGTAAAATTTTTGTTCAATAAATTATGTAGTATTGCTGCAAATGATGTAAATATTAGTTTGTACTTTATTTTCACGACCAGTTGGAATAAACCAAAGATATTCCAGGCTATAACGATTTCATAATATATTAACTTAAAATCTTCCCGAGTTTTTGCATATAACATATTTGAAAATACCATCTAAATATTGTATGTGTAAGGTAAAAACGATCAGTTTATGTGTTAAAATGCATTTGATAGTGCTTATTACAGGAAAAGATATATATCTCTCTAATTTATAAACATTTTACTATTTTTGTAAAAGCTAAAACATTGCACGCATATTGATAATATCTGTGACAATTTTAATTTCTCAATTGTTCAAAACAGTAGCTAATCTTTGAAAGACTCCTGACAGATATGACAAAAGATTGAACATACAATTTAATACAAAAGAGCTTAATTATCTAAATGGTGCTTACCATTCACTTATCGGCCTATTTATTATATTCATTCTTATATTATTTATCATATCATTTATTATATTCATTATCCTTTATCGGCCATGGAGAGAGCCGTTCACACAGAGCCACGTTGACCAGCGTTATGGCTATCTAGCGGTAACAATGCGCTCAATCTCGCCGGGCGCCCCAACTGGGCTGCCGATTCTTTCGCAACGCCTTCCTCGTATTTGTTAAGGTTGCGTGCGAGCGCTGCAATTAACTAAACTTTCGCACGGGGCGCGTATAGACAATGACGTTTCGACATGGCGTCTCGAACCGGCATCGGGTCGGTGGGAGCCACGTGATGTAATGCCAAGGGTCTCGCATTCAACCTGGAGAAACGTAGCTGGACCCTTGCAAGACAAAATCACACACAAGGTGCCAAGTCGGGACACACAGCTCCCGGCAACTTATTGGACCAGCGGAGCTTGGGTTCATTTCGAGTAGAGGGCGCGCGTAAACTGGGTAAATATGTAAATGGCGTTTACATTTAGCGGTTGACTTGATAGAAATTTCACACGCCTTACGATTTTATTTTTTTGTCTGATCAATGCCCTAAATTGATGAGGAGAGTGGTGTGATGATGTATCCTAGTATCTAGGACCTACCGAGCTTTTTTTAACTTTTACTTCATTTTCTACATCATTTTAATCTTTATTTAAAAAAAAAAAACCGTATAACTAAAATTTTTTTTAATCATATTTTATATATAGATAAAGGAACCTTAGCATGTTGCATGTTCTTGAATTGTTTTATACACGTCAGTAAAACCCTACAAGTGCGGATCGCGCTTTGCACAGTCCCATGTAATCGTTTTCGTCGATGAAACTAAATAATCAATCACAAAACAATAGTCAGGACTTCAAAAATGAATATTAGTCGATAAATCTCAAATCCCCGAAAAATGGCACCGGTTCCTAGCAAGAATGGTCCGCGGGACTATTGATATTAAAAAGTATTCTAATTATGATCATGTTATTTATAAAATATAGAAACAAGTATAAACGAATACTAAGCTATTATAGAAGCGCAAACACAAACTTTTTCATTAGTCAGGGCTTTAAAAATGTCCCTCCCGATATTCATAAAAACTAAAAACTAAAAATAAGTAAAAAGTATCCTTATAAGCATGATAGATAGTAACTGCTACAACATTATCCATTAGAGTTAATTGATAATTTCATTTGTAAACAGGATAAATATGAAGAGCCGATTACGTACACATTATCACGCGTACATAGCAACAAAAAATTAATTGCTTACCGCCATTTGTACATGCTATTATAATTGAGGAAATAACGCGAGAACTGTACTCGCGATCTATTAGGCAAGAGCGGTCAAAGTGCTTCGAGTGATGGGACTAGCCGCCACTTCACAACACCATCAGTAATGTGAAACATAGATGAGAGATAAACATGTGGGTAGGTTGGTACTACGTTTGTCATCACCGCAGCGAAGGAGCTTTTATTTTAGTCATGCATACACAAACCTTATTGCTGTTGTAGTACTCTGTACTACAACAGCAATAAGGTTTTCTAAGGTTTTCTAACGATTGATAGGCAATATTCGGTATCAGAATTTCGTTATGTTATCACTGTTTCTGTTGTGACGAACGTATGTGGCAATCCGTAGGGTATGCATGGTGGTATGCCCAAATACTCTCTGTACAGAGGAGGCCTTTGCCCAGCAGTGGGATATTTTGATACTGTTACTATACTTTATTTTTTCTGTATGCCCGTCACTTTCTGTCCCTCGCTTTAATATCCCTAGTATCTGCATTCCCTGTGGAATCCAAAAGGCCTTGACCATTTTCGATGACATTTTCAGGCAATATGCAAATTATCTCAGCGGGTGATCCTGTGAAGTATGGTAGAGACGTCATCAACAGATTTTTTTTTGTATTTGATAATGATTGCTACCCGTGCGATGCTAGGGCGGGTAGCTAATTAAAAATAAATATCGAAGTTTAAAAAAAAATATAAGAAATAGAAATAAATTTAATTTAATAACTGCGCGAATGAATTATGGTAAGAAAGCAATCTGTCCGAACCGTTACGACCTGGGATCCTTCAACAAGAGAGCTGCTGATTTTATACCTAAATAAGTTTGTATAATTGCATCACAAAAAAAATAACAAAAAGAACAAGACCGCAGTTCTTGCCGGTTCTTCTCTGTTCAGGTCTACTTTAGTGAACCGGTAGTAGATTTTTTGTTGACGTTCAATAAGAGCTTAAGTTAAGCCTATATTGAATAAAGATTATTTGACTTTGACTTTAAAAGGCCGACAACACATTTATAAGCCCTCCGGTGTTGAAGATGTTCATGGGCGGCGGTGATCACTTGCCATCACGTGATGACTTCTGCTCGTTTGCCCCTTTTTTCCATTAAAGAAATATATTTGTAGGAGTACTGCTCTGAAACGCAGAATTGTAACACTACTTTACGCCGGTCTTCTGTGAGGTCGTGGTACTTACCCGGACGGATCCTCCCATTCGTGCAACAGTGAACACTGTTGCGAGGCCCTACCACAGTTAAATGTCATGATTTCTTATACTTACATCCGTGTACTTACCCGAATGTGTATACCGCTTTACCTATCTAGTCGCATTGTATTTTGATTTTAGAATGTAAAAACTCCATAAATAATATCCTAATAAAAACTCACAAACATAACTGGCGGTGCTTCACATCGATAGCTGAAGACGTTTACTGTCAGTGATAAAATTTTAATTTTTAGACCGTACTAACTATCATAGTAAATTCGATAAACCTCAAATCCTCACAAAAGGGCATCGACTCCTCCCAAGTTTGATCTGAGAGTCTGTTGAAATAAAGAAGCATTTCAATTTAAATAGGGATCGTGTAATTTATTAAATTAGAACCAAAAAAACCAACAACGCAAGACTTATCTATTGAATTAATAGAGTTCTCTCTAAATACGCGACATACTAACGTGACTTTCTTTAATCTGCCTATGTACTCAGTGATTTACAGTCGATGAGGGTCTCGGTTCGAAGTAACCTAATAAAATTTAACCGGCTTATGCAAGAGAACTTTACTGCTTTATTTCAGTTATAGCTTTGATTGCTCATATCTCTGAAAATGGTGGTGTAATTTTCTGTATTTTTCTTAAAGAAAGAAAAGTTTTTAGTGCTCTGTATCAACCTGTAGGCACAGGACTAGCCCCTGTGGGACTTGGGAGTTTGGTGGTAGGACGAAAGAGCTATCAATGTTGGTAATCGTGTGGAATTTTTTAATTGTACAAATTTACAATAAATTAGTTAGAGATTAGTCTCAATTTTTCATCCGACTTTAAAAATGGAGCAAGTTTTAATTCGGTTGTGTTTTTCTATGTTTATTATCTCAGAACTCCGTAATTTATGAAGCGATTTTGAAAATTGTTTTTACATTGGGTTCCATTACATGGGGTCCCATATAGTTTCATTATTATAGTCGTTGCTATCCGGAGGTAAAATCAAATAGAAAGTTTATATGATAATGATAATGTGTGAGATATTAATATGCAACCTTTACATTTATTATTCTTCTGTGTGTGTGTGTATGTCACTGAACTCCTCCTAAAGGCTGGACCGATTTTAATAACATTTTTTGTGTGTTTTCAGGTCGATTCGAGAATGGTTTGGATTCACAATTTGGTCCACATTTTTATTATTTTTTTATTTATTAGTTGTTGTCGGATTTAAGTCGTGTATACAGGACAAAGTCTGTCGGGTCCGCTAGTATTATATAATAATTGAACATACTCAATATTATATAATACCTAATAATCATTGAGATATTCGAAGTCGGTTTTGTCTTTTGTTAATAAAAATGTATTTCTCATTACATTGCTGCATCAAAAAAAGGATAAACTACCGAATACAGTGTCAAATTAGCAATGTTGAAGACTCTCTATGATAAGAAATCTATCTCTCTCGTTCACTAGAAAAGTTGGCCGGATTCACGTAACAGGCAGAAATCTCAATACTTAATGATAGGTTTATTGAATGAGCAATGTTCACAAGTTTCCCACGATTGCAATGCTGGGATGGAGAAGGGTTCTAAGTTACAAGTGATAAGTTCGAGATGGTGACCTTTTCAACACGACCTCGAACGCGGACTTACGTAAGTTCCGTAGCAGGGAGAGTAATTGAAACTAAGGGGTACGGTGTCGAAATGTATTTATGTTATTTTTTGTAAAAAAAAAACTTAAAAATAAATTAAGCTAAGCTTTAACGATAGACTTTATACAAAAACAATGAGTCAAGGCCAGCGGTGGGCCACTTCGTGTTCAGCGACGACTGGCCCACCGCTGCGCCACGAACCCGTGAGCGCGCATAGTCGCAAGCTGGGCCGAGGTGTTCTAGCCCGGCGGCGACCACCTACACGGTAGATGGTCGCCGCCCGATGGTCGGTTGGGGCTGCGGACGGTGGATGGTGTTGCGTCCGAGGGGTGAACGCACTTGGCGTCCATCTCATCTAGTAGGGAGCGCCGTAGCTGCCAGAGGGGGTGCCGTACGAGGAGGAGGGGTAGCCCGAGGAGCCGCCGGACTGCTCGTACTGGGCGACCTGGATCGCCTGGCGCACACCCTCGAGGTTGATGCCCACTACGCGGCCGCTGTAGCCGCTCGGCACGCCGTAGGACGACGAGGGCACGCCGTAGGACGAGGAGGGCGCCCCGTACGAGCTGGAGATGCCGCCGTGGCCGCCGCCCAAGCTGGAGCTGGACGCCTCCTCCTTAAGGAGGATCTGGCGCACCTGCTCGAGGAGTTGCGCGTCGACGTGCTGGCCCTCGGAGGTCTGGTAGCCGGAGGAGACGGGGCGCAGGGGTCCGCCGCCGCTGAGGCCGCCGCTGATGCCGCCGCTGATGCCCCCCGATGGGCGGCTGTAGCTGTAGCCGGAGGGGGGTTCGGCGCGGGCGACCGCCACCAGCGCTAGGGCTATGCACTGTTGGACAATTAGAGACAACATTCATTCAACTGAGCTGGGAATTCAATTGCTCAAGGAGAGAGACAGAGCACATTACGTCCATTTGACCCAAATCGTCCGAGATGATGTCGCAACCACTGAAATTCACACCTATTTGCCAACTTTCCAACGTGTCCTAATATTTTGCCTCTTTTGTCTAAACAAAAAGCGTCGCATTGCGCAACCTGACAATTGATGGTTAGCATTCAGATGCACTCGGAACCACAGATTGCGTCAATGGCGAACATTCATCATTCCCGAACTTTTTAAACCTCAATTTGTAAGCGGCTTCGTTGATGCGAATTGAAAAATTTGTATCGTATACGTTAGTTGATTGTCATCGCTTTCTATTTGTGGCGTCTCTTTCGGATCGTGTTCGCATCTCAATGATAAACATATGTAAATACGTGTTATTCAATGCTACTGCCGCATTAAGAAGTCTTTACATAATGTCTGTAATTTTTCATACTGCGGCCCCATCGGATGGAAAGATTTCAAACCACTGCTTTCGAAATGGTTCCATGTAATGAATACGCAATTAAATCTGCCTAGTTAATGCACATGTCAAATCTACAATTTTAAAAACAATAAACGTTACATGTACTGTGCGATAAGGTTAAATAAGACACTAATAATAGATGTACCTGTCCTATGTTTCCCTAATTGGTATGGTCACATTTACGTCCAATGAAATTCCACCGTCGTTTTTCTTGCTCTTCGGGTTAATTGGAAGTGAATGTGTTTTTGCGGTCTGGCGCGTCTCGTCCGAGGTCAAGTGATAACGCAAGGTTCTGAATTTCTAAAACTTATCGACGATCTTCACTTTCTTTTTGTCTTGTTGATGGCAATGTTTATGGGATACGCGAGCGGTGAAATTACACGTATAGCTTGACGTGAAAATTCACGGCGGAGAGCTGTTTAAAATTTTTATTCTTGATGGACTCTTGTAATTCCCAATAGCGATGACTGATTTATTTCGAGAATATGTAAAACGATTGCGTAGTACAAGGTTAAAAATCTTGGACATTTTTTGAACGCTGTACCTAATGTATAATGTAAATGAACATACTGGGATGGCTAAAGATGAATACTATATTGTCCTGTTCTTAGGAGATTACATAATTCTTTTTTCGTTTTTTAAATAACCAAAGCAATAACAAGAATATTTTTGAAGAATTTTTTGTTATTATATTCTATTGGTCTAATTGACAATTTATTAGTCGTGAAAGTGTCATGAGTCGAAGAGGAAGCCCATGGCTAGTTACATAACAGAAAACGCGGGACTTTGTCGTTTGGCGCCATTATTGCAGTGCTAACGATCTGAAAATCTAATATGATCTGTTATACGATAGACTATACCATCTCGTCTTTGCTTATAACTTACTGAACATACTATTTTAGATACTTTAGTTTGAACTACCTCTTTCTCAGTATTATTTTCAGTTTAATTAATTAGTTGAAAGTTTTTCAAACAAATAGATTACGAAAAATTGAAAACTCAACTACTTAATGCATAATTTTATTACGGAATTGAATAGACGAGAAATACTTTCAGTTTACGTTGGAATGGCATCCAACAATAACAGAAAACATTTAACTTACGTAAGTAATAAATAATAAAAAGTGCTCATTAATATTTAAATTGAAACAGTTTGAATAAGTATATTACGATAAAATACGGAAGTGAAAATGAAAGTGGATTGGAAGTTTTAATTTTAAAACTTTTATTATCAGTATGGGAAAATACCTAACAGTAGAAAAGTTTCAGAATGCATCTACATAATATAAATGAAGCAGCTCTCTCCATGTATAGAATAGTATATAAGGTACGAGAGCACTAGATAATGTAGTGCTTATAAGGAAACAAATTGAAGATAAATTTAAAATGTTCCGTGTCACTATATAATAATATATAATATAAGGGTTGAGAGGGTTAAGAAACGTTTTGTAGAAGTTATATATATATGGGTACTGCATCTCGTCGGAGAATATGCAGACACTAAAAGTTTTATGAGCGTACATTGTTTGCGTACGGTAGCTGTGGTTTGTGAGTGATGTGCTGAATGTAAAGTTTATGGTCTGTAACTGAGACAGCTATTACAATTTCTCTATGGCTCACGCTACATATTCATCGAGTGATACGTTAATTGCTCGTTGAATTTAAAAAGGGATTAGATAAAATTTATTTGTGAATGGTGGTTGTAAATCACGTCTGAATTTTTAATTCAACTTGAAAAAAACTCGAACGTCAAAACAATATGAGTTATCCGTTTAACGAAGAGGTGTGTTAGTTAATAATTTATTTGTAACTTTTGAATATGCATGTTGCAAAAGAAAACAATACTTTGGATAGCGAAATACGTTGTCAAATTTAATTTACTATCGAAACAGATAATATACGACACGTTGTGATGTGCTTAGAATTAGATATGAACGATTGCATCATACGAATTGATTTCGACACGCAATTGGGTGTGAATAGCGGTCAGTGAGATTCATTTGATGGTACCGCGATGGTAACTAGTCAGTCAGATATTTAGGCGAGGAATGCTCTAGAAAAATCTATGCACTGACTTTAATTGGTCAATAAATTGAAGAGTGCAAAGTATCAGCCTATAGATGTCCCACAGCTGTGCAAAGGCCTCCTCTGTACAGAGTACCCTCTCAGGGCATAGTCCTCCACGCGGCTCCACTGCAGATTGGGTGACTCCACATAATTATCTTCGAAATATTATTTTTATTATTATTTCGAAAATATGCAGGTTTCCTCAGGATGTTTTCGTTCATCACTGAGCACGTGATAATTCAGCACTTGAAATTAACAATTTCATTGGTGCCGGCACCGGGGATCGAACCCAGGTTGCTCGAGTACACTGAATTAAAGGCGAGCGCCCGGACACTGAGCTATCACGGCTAACATAATGATATATAAATAAATGTAATATGCACCGAATGGATTACGTTCAATATCAGCATTGCGTTGTCCTAGTACATCTTCAATTTGTGTGTTGTGAAGTACAAGGAAGTAAGTAACTAAGTACAGTAAGTGATGGAGCACTCTTCAACGCTATTATATGCAAGATCGATATCACTTAAATGACGCAAGAAGCACGAGGGAGCTTTCAATCTCTAGAGCATTCTCCGGTCCATATTGCGCCTAGTAGTAGCCACCTGACCTCTGACCCGTACTCAGCGCAGCCACTTGAATTTCACAACGCGGCGAAGGGAAAACTATAGATTACACAATTCGAATAATTGCGGGTTTATCTCACGTTGCTTTATTGCAATGAATACGCATTGCATGATCATCTGTGTTCTTTTGCGTGTGTACGGAATTTAGATGACTTTAAACAGGCTTTAAACTTTTCAATGTAATATGAAAATGCGCTGAAATTTGTGGTATATTTGATTACTAATATTGGACATTAGGTGCAGTAAAAATATTCTGTAATTAAAAACGTTTTAAGACCTCTGTAACTTATTCTCATTTAGTTTTACCCCAAGTGTTTTGTTGACTTTCTCTGCTATTATTAAACCTTTACGTTGCAGAAACATCTGTTATAAAATCTTCGTAAAATGCATTTAAAATTGACCGGAATATTAACCTATTTTGGTACTGTTTACCTGTCAGCTTTTAGACGTTATTATTATTTTTAAATAAACCGACATTTTCAAATTCATTTTGTAACGATTCTACGATGTTCTCTAGAGAGATATAGTTCGAGATTAATTCTATCGTCCTTAAACCAAAGAGCGAGACGTGTTGCTACTCTTGTCGCCTTCCGTGCGAGAGTACTCCTTCGGAATACTCTCATCGGAATGTCACTTGAATACAAACGATGGCATTTCTTTAACCAGTACATTCCCGTCCTTTTTTTTAAAGAAAAGAAAATCCCCTTGTCCGCCTTTTACGATTTATACAGAATGACGAAAATATAAATAGTGACTTATAAAACAAATTGTAAGCATATTGAAAGAATTTAGATAAGAGTAGTTTAATAAGACCTGCTGAAATAATCAAGATAAAGCAAAAGAAATTAACATTGTCCTGCGTTTAGTGTCCCGATCCAAATATAGTCAACAAATTGCAAAAAATCATGCAAAATTATGGATAGAAATTTTAATTTAAAACTATATGAATTTTATTCGATTGATGAAAACATTTAAACGCCGTCCAATGTTTTGTTTTTATAATTCACGCCAAATGTTGTATCCGTTCGGAAATCGATCGTAGTGCATAATTGAACCTTTTTTGAATTTATAGGAACTGTTTTTTTTTTTTTAATTTTTAGTCTGCACTCGTCTTAGCACTATCGCGATGCACTGGACGATTTCGGAACGGCACAACACTTGTCACTCGCGCACACGGTCACGGCACATCACTGGACTTACCGCTACGAAGGTTCTCATGGTGCTTGGCGATGGGTCACTGGGGTTCGTAACGAACTGGTGTGTTGTTCTCCGGAGTGTAACGTACGTCTATATAGCGGACGCTCGGCCGCGGTGGGGCGGAGAAAGGATAGACGCGGTTGTGCAAGCAAGGGAGATGCTGCCACCGCTAGGAAATTCTCTAATTAGAGGGCGTCACGCGAATTCTTATTTTCGGTTTTCGGCCATCGATCAGAGGCCAAAGGTTGGTGTAAGACGACCACAGGCTGACCTCCGTTCGCAATTGGCTATGTAGCGACAGTGCGAAGTAGACTTTTTAAATTTTGAGATTCTTTGCATTTAATTTAGTTTAGCCGATAAATCAAGCTACATGCAGATTTAAATCAATTTTTTCTGGTACGTTTTGCAAGACGATTGCTCCGATAAAACAAGAACCCGCTATTTCTCGTTGTTGTGTTAGATAACTGAACAATTATTAAAAGGAACAATGGTTGTAAGACCTTTGTTCTTGTTTTTCTGTTCATGTTCAATGTCGTAACGTGTGCTTCAAAAATATTTTGGCGTATTATTAAATACGGTGTTGAAATTGTGCTTAGTTCTAGTGCACTTGATGGCTAAGCACTAGGTTTTGATAAATAATAAAATGTCTTATAACTGAATAAGAAGTTCAAAATGTGTGTTATCAAAATATCGGGAATAACTTGAAAGATAGCACCATCATCATCATCATCATTTCAGCCTGTTTGAGTCCACTGCTGAACATAGGCCTCCCCCACAGACTGCCATGAAGTACGATCCTGAGCCACCTGCATCCATCGACTTCCGGCACATTTGCACAGGTCGTCACTCCATCTAGTGGGGGGTCGTCCCACACTGCGATGGCCAGTACGAGGCTGCCACTCGAGAACCTCTCTTCCTCAACGGTTATCGGTTCTACGAGCTATATGGCCGGCCCATCGCCACTTCAGCTTGCTAATCCTCTGAGCTATGTCGGTTACCTTGGTTCTACTGCGGATGTCTTCGTTACGAACTCTATCACGCAGAGAAATACCGAGCATAGCCCGCTCCATAGCTCGCTGAGCGACTTTGAGCTTCCTCATACGGCCAGCAGTGAAGGACCACGTCTCGGTTCCGTAGGTCATCACTGGCAACACACATTGATTGAAGACTTTAGTCTTCAAACATTGAGGTATATTCGACGAGAAGAGTTGCCGAAGTTTTCCGAACGCTGCCCATCCGAGTTGGATTCGCCGATTGACCTCTGCGTCGAAGTTGGACTTACCTAGCCGGACTAACTGTCCTAGGTAAACGTACTCGTCAACAACTTCGAGCTCATTGCTAGGAGTAGGTAGTTTTGGAATAGGGCAACGGAACCCAAGGGGGCAGCAGCTGGCTGACTTTATGGAGAAAGAGGGACTCTTTATGATGAACTCTTTCTTCAAAAAGCAGCCCCACAGAAAGTGGACCTGGATTAGCCCCGATGGTTCTGTAAAAAACGAGATAGACTTCATTATGACGAACAAACGGCAAATATTCAAAGATAGCACCACCATTAAAAAATTGAAGATAATAACAGATGTAAAAATAGCTTTCAAAAAATTTTAATATTATTTATTTTTATATTAATATATTTTAACTTTTTTTATTTGTAAGGTATTTTGTAAGAACTTTATATGACTCTGTCGCGATTGCCAAGGTATTGGCTTCGGTTCCGGGGGTCGTGGGTTCGATTCCCACACGGGACAACTATTTGTGCGACCCACAGATAATTTTTTCGGATCAGGTCCACGTGAAAATTATGTATGTAAAAACCACACAGGATAAGTTATCCCACAGTAAGGGCCAATGTTTTCGAAGGGAACAATTGTCTTCCACTTCCTTCTAATGTATTGACATTTTCTAGATCGCAGTGGTCATTCATACTGATACTTTATTTTTTACGGTGGTAGGGCCAAGTAGCAGCCTCGGCTGTTGCACGAATGGGCAGGCCCGTCCGGGTAAGTACCACGACCTCACAGAAAACCGGCGTAAAGTGGAAGTATGATACTTTCACGTTTCGTCTGGTGAGTGAGGTGGCCGGAGCCCGATTTTCAAAAGATTGTGAACACATCTGCAACCCTCGGGTTTAGCAGATGTCTATGGGCGGCGGTATTCACTTAACATCAGTTGAACCGTCTGCTCGCTTGGCAAATTTTCACATTTAAAAAAAACTTACTACCCAACCCCTTTCACCTAAAATACAACAAACATTGAAATTTATCGAAGTTTTTGTAGATCAGATATCTATTAAAGTTACCTAGTAGTTATTTTACTTTTACTAGAATTGAAACTTGATGTACAATAGTAAAACAATCAATTATCTAGAATAAAAACTTGGCGTTTATAAACACATTAAGTATTTTAAATGTTTTACTGTTCAACTGAGAACTGATTTAATGTATGATTTCAAAAGTAGATCTTAAACATTTGCATATGCAACCAAAGAATGCTTGCAGTAGTATTTTTTTATCCAAATCCAAGAGGTCTCTACACGCCTTAAATGAATTTCTTGCGTATGTAAAATATTGTATACCTACACTAATCGTTTTCCGTCAAAATTCTTCAGTTCTACTGTTTGAGACATCATTGAACTGGCAACAGTGGCAGAATGCCAACATCCTGTCGGTGAATGTTGTCACGTGTTCTGCTCCGAATAATGCCTGAATATAAAACCTACAGCGCTGAGTCATACGGTCAGGTATTTACTATTTATAAACATTGCTAAAGCATAAGACTATCCTATATTTGAAAGCCACGCAAAACCGCCATCAGATGAATATTTATTACAGTTTTCTTACAGAAGAACTGTTTTGTGTATTCTTTGTATGCAACAAAGACGCGTCGTTAAAAAACATTTTTGAAACCCGTTTTTGCCTATTATTTCAGTGAAAAATCTGCTCATCACAAACCCTACTATTCTGGATTTACAAGGTCAGCTTTTTACGCCGTAATCAAAAATTCAAAAAGGATGTGACGGTTTGTTTTTCATATAAGGTTTGTCTGGAATTTTATTTGTAAAATAAACATTTCTAGACTGCCAAGGTAAAAGAATTTCGTTTCGAATGAAACTGGGTAAAGGTTTTTTTACGTCATAATGTGGGCGCAGTCGCCTAGGCTTCGGCATCGGGGGTAGATTCCCGCACGGGACAACTATTTGTGGGACCCATAGATAAGTATTCAGCTGCCATTTCTGCACGTGGAAATTTATGTATGCAAAACATCCTTGCAACACAGGATACTGCTATCTTAGAGTAAGGGTAGAAAAAAAAAGTGAGAAGACGGTTCATCTGATGATGCTAAGTGCACACACAAACACTGAAAAACAGTAGTATATAAAATATTTCTAATTTATGCAGGTCTATTGGACAAACTATTGTCTACAGGACAAGCCTGTCCATTCGTGCAAGCAGAATTCGTGTAGTAGAAGTTGCTGAATGACTTTACCATAGCAGGGCCAAGACTTTGCACCTCTAGTTAGTTCAACGACCATTTAACAACATCAGACGTTGAGTTTGTGTGTGTTTTATTACATTTAAGGAATCTATATGTATCTATCGTTTCCATCTGGTAAATAAGAAAAACATTATTAGTAAGTAGCCAATTAGTAGATTTCAAGGTCTATATGTATTATTTAACTAGCTTAAAGCTTAATTTGGGAGATATTATTATTGTAGTTGCGGTCAAACAAACAAATGTAACGGTTTAAAAAGGCATAGTTAAACAAAACTTCTAGTTTATATACTCTCTTTGTAGTTAAATCTGATACACATTTAGTGCAGTCTTAAACTGGATTTGACGATTTGCGTTCTCTTTTAAATTGTAAATTTATGAAAATCGTATTTAAATCCGACGGCACACGATAAATATTTGTTATACGGAATACTAACACAAAAAGAAAGGTTATAAATGTTTCCGTCAAAACCTCTAGTGCCAATTTGTACCGTTTATAGGTCTCCATGGTAACGGAGTCCGATGTTGGAACGGGGAATGCAACAATTATGTTCTTCCGTGGCCATTATTAGATGGCTGAGAAACTTTACCGTGTGAGAATAATTTCACTTTATAAATATTAAGTTGTTACTACATACTACTTGAAATTTTAGATTGGACCCCATTTAAATAAACCAGCCAAGTGCGAGTCGTACTCGCGCACGAAGGGTTCCGTAACACTATACAGCGTGTCTTTACAATCGCGACATTAAATGAACACACAGATACCTTTTAAAATTGTATTAAACATTTACATTCTTTAAACATCAATATTTGCCGAGTTATTAAATTATCCAAAACAAACAATTTTATAACAACCTTATGTATAAAACGGTAACGTAAAGTTCACTTGTAAAGGTCACAAAGCTATATTACACATATGATTGGGTTGAATGAATTTGAAAGAGATAAAACATACTATTAGAAGGAGAGATTTGTAGTGCGACGCTGGGGCAACGAATGAAAAAATGTCTGAATGTATGAATCAGTCAGTTGTAGTTGTATAGGATGTTACAAATTTTGTTTCTTTTTTATTTAATTAGTTTGTTTGAAAAATATATTTTTTTAATTATGGATTTTTTAAACGTTTTATATTTTTTTATGATTACTGGAAGTAGCGATAGACGTGTGTTCATTTATTGTCGCGATGGTAACGCTGTGTTGCATGCACCACTTAAATGTTTTTTTATATTATCTGTGAAAATTTCAATTGTCTAACTATCACGATTAATGAGTAATAGGATCCCGTTTTATCCTTTGGGTAGGGAATCCTAATAATGGATGTCATATGCACATATTAACTAGTTCACAAATTTTTTATGGCGTTCTCTCTGAGAAGTTTTAAGTGGTGTGTATTGAGTGGAAAACATTTCGCATGAATATGCTATTCATTATTTACGTGTTTCCTCTGACCGACTTCGATTGTCCGATGGTTCCAACGCGATTAAGATCATTGTACCGTTGAAGCAATTAATTTGCAACCAAAAATAGTT